AACAATAACTGTGACAGCTTCAGATTCATCGTTCTCTTCAACATAGGAACTGTTATTAACTAAATTAATAGATGAATCATGTATCTGACTTCCTATTCCTGAAAAATGGCTCTTTCTTTCTTCAGAGATGTCACACATACATTTTAGTGAGTCACTGTCTATGTTAATATTTAATTCATGGAGTTGGCCAGTATTATGTAAGGTACTACTTTCTGTATAATCTTTAGGAGGCTTGGTGTAAGATTTTGCCCTTAAAGACTCAACTTGAAGGCTATCAACGTTTGCTTCACAAGGTGGATCACTGTCGACCAAAAGCTCAACACTAGGTTTAGTTACCTTACTAAATATTTCCTTCGCTTCATTTAGACCCGGCATATCCTGTGGTGACAATTCTTGCTGCTGCAGCTGTAACTTTCCTGCCCCTTGTATGGCATTCGAGACTGAACATTCTTTCCTGTTATCTAGAGGCCAATCCACTCTATGAATCCCCTCAGAAGTAACAGCTGAATGACATTCTTCTCCTGCAGCTGCTCCATACATGAGAGTGCACAGTTCCTCTTCCATGTGCAGGCAGTCAGGGTCTACAACACAAATGCTATAAAACTCCTTTCCTGAATTCTCACACTGTTTGTCATCAATACAAATAGGGTTTTCACCTTGCCTTACTCTACTGGACACACTTAAAGAGTTATTATTCTCTTTAAAACCACTGATTTGAACATTTACCAATCTTTCTTTCTCTATAAAAGAGTTCTCACAAGTGCCTATGTAACAGCACAGATGGTCACTTGGAGAAATTTCCTCCTGGAGACCTTGGTCAGAACATACTGGCACACATGAGAGGGGCTGGCCATCTTCAGAACAGCCCTGTCTGTCAGTACCCATGCACAGCAGGTCAGGGATACTCTCAGAATTCTGCTCAGTAACAACAATATCTGAATTCTTATCTCTCTCATCTAAATTGTCATATCTAGTTAAGAACTTATATATGGAAGAGGAAATAGAATTCAGTGACTGATTTGGTCTCTGATTTCCTTTGTACCCAGATCTTGTAAAAGTTCTAGTCCACATGTTAATGCCGGCAGCTGCTCTGCTGGCTCCATTTTCAACATTGTGAAGCTCCTCACCCTCAAGGGTATCAAATAATGAAGATAAAGTTTTACTTATCTTGTTCTCCGGTTCCTTTTCCACCACAGATTTCTGTAGCAGGCCAATTTTCTCATTGTCATCGTCACTACTTAATTCTTTGCTGAAGCAACAACCCATGTTCAAAAGTTCAAAAACTCACATTACAATGCTTGTCCCTTTCTGAGCCTCTACAAATGCATCTCACACAAACTTGGTTTCTGAGAAGCCAACACCCAGACACCAAAAATAACTCCTTGCACAGCAGTCACATGTTCCTGCCACTCAAATCCAAATCCTAATGACAAGAGAACCCTGCCTGACAACTATCATACTCCATGTGCTGAAATACAAATAGTCCTTGGAAGCCAAAGGTTCAGAACAGCAGAGAGAAAAAAAACACACACAGAGCTACATTAGTTTTTCTTATTTTCATAAACTAAATTATGAAACAACTAAAATTATTATCTCAGCCAAAGGAAAAATTTTTTCAGACTTCTGGTTTTTCTGGAGTGTTCTAATATTTTCTGAATAACTTTTCATGGATTAATTGTCAACCAAAGAAGTAAGTCTGTAAATTCCCCAAAAGAAAACAATTTCTAGAACTTTGTTTCTCTGAATTCATAGCTAATTACAGTTGTATCTAATTTTCCAGCTTCAAGAAATGTTTGTGAGTATAAAGAAATTACTGCTAATAATATCAGATATGGGAATGAACAGTTTTGGTTAGAGATAATAATGAACTATTATGGCAAAATGACAAATTATCTAGGATCTGCTTAAGAATACTCCAGAAAATCTGGGTGTGGTGGTACACACCTATAATCCCAGCTATATGATAGGCTGAGGCAGGAGCATCACAAGCTCCAGTAAATAGAAACATAAAATTCTAAATGATTATGGGTGTAAGGCAGAGGAAAAACCAAACAAGAGTAGCTCAACAGAAGGGTTCATAATTTTTCATGAAAGAAACATTAGGGCTTATTATATTATTCACTCCATTCTGCAGATGCCTGAAAATCATAACTAAGAAAAAAAAAAAGCAAGAGAAAAAAGAAAAAGAAGAAATTAATCTAGTACCCATAGCAGGAAATATCTCAAAAGCACTATGCGCTACTGACAAGTTTAACCTGCAAGATAAATAATGTGCTAAAAAGAGGTAGTTATTGTCCATATATAAGAAATAGGCACTGGATATTTTCATGGAAATTCGAACTTTCTGATAGCTAGCCTACTCTCATTCAAGATACAGGCTGTACTAATTAATCTGAATTACTAGTTATAAATATTCATTCAGAAACTATGTGCTCAACAGTGAGGTTTTGGGTTGAGACTAGAGATCATTTGTAAGGCACTTGCCTAGCACACATGAAGTCCTGAATTCGACCCCTAGCACTACCAAAGAGAAAAGAAAAAAAGTGAAATGGTTTTTAATTTAATTTATGAATAAATGGAAAGACTCAAGTTTTCTGATCTTACTACCTTTAAAGGAGTTTTAAAAGACTATTCTGGTATAGATCACATTTTACAGAACATAAGTTTTGTATGCAGAAGAGTTTGATTTTCGATTTAAGCTTTTAAGTTTCACATTATGATTAGAAAAGATGTGGCTTATTTGTTTTTCTTCCCAGCATATAATTTAACACTAACACTTCTATCTCATATTACTTGTACTTTAAACATCATCACACACTTACATTCCTCTCTCAAACTTGCCATTCATTTATGGTAAAATGCAAAAAGATCATCAAGATGGAAAATGACTCTGAGGCCAAAGTAGTTACTCCAAGGAAAATCAGGCAACCTTGCTGCAAGGTGTATTGTTTGAGCAGCAGCATTTTGAATCTAGAATCCTTGAATAGACTTCAGCAGCAGCACAAAACCTTTGATAATGGTCTTTGCTACAGATGGAGTTTGTAGCCTTAACAGGTAAGACTAAAGGCATTTAACCAAATGACTTGTTGCCAAATACCCACTGTCAGATACTGTTTCTTCCTTATGAAGGAGATCCTTCATGGAGACCCACTGCCAGAATGGCTGCCTCCTCATCTCAAACAGCCTCAAAGCCCTTTTGATCCATCTCTTGCTCTCCCTATCCATCCTCTCATCATGGAAGCAAATATCTTAGGTAGAACATTCCTGTCTACACTATATCACCACATCCTGAATCTGTTTTGCCTGTACTGCCCTTTGGAACTGCTCTTGCTAAGGTTACAACTGAAGACCCACTTTGCTTCAATCTATCTAATCAATAGGTCCTTATTTCATGTCACTTCATTTAGCCACTATCTCACTCCATTTCAATCAAACATTGCCATCTGTTTTTCTTCACATCTCTCTGACCATTCCCTTCCTAGTCTCCTTCCAATTTCTGAAATACTCACAGGGTTCCAGAGTTTTTATCATTTTCCCATTCTGTAAATAAAGGGAAATTTAATGCAAATTTAGTATTTTAACTCTATTAGTACAATATGCTTCAAGGACAGTAGCCCTTTATTACATCAAAGTCAGAACATTCAAAATGACCCTCCTTTATTCAACTAGGGACAAAACAGAAGAACATTTCTCCTGTAGACACAACTACCCCTCAATGCTTCCTATCTCCATGGCTATACTCATTCTGTATCTAACGTTCACACAAAAATTGGTAATAAACTTTCCTGGTGTAATACAGCTATAATAGATATATGTGTATCCCATGCTAATCTGTAAACAATGTCCCCATAGAACTAACTGTTTTACCCATCTTAATCAACTGCACTCAGTGTTGTTGAATAAATTAATACTCAAATTTCGCTCAAAGTACTGCCTATCTGCCTACTAGAAAAAGCACACCAAGCCACTATGGAAGCCAACAGGATACAGAAAAGGCAAAGACAGAAAACACACTTGCAATTGACCAGGAATAAGGGAGGAATGGGGGGATTAACTATAAATGGGCATGGTGGGGGGTAATGAAAATATTCTAAAACTACATTACAGCCATGGTTGCACAACTCAGTAAATATGAATATCAAACTGCATACTTCCAATCCAACAGGAATAATAAAATGATGAAATACACGAGTTTAGGGTAGTGTTTTTAAATTCTATTTTAGAAATTCTACCTTATTCAAATTAGATCAAGGACTGAAGATGTAACTCAGTGGTAGAGCACTTGCTTGACATGCATACATGCATGAGGCCCTAGTTTTGATCCCTAGCTCTACACACACACACACACATACACACACACACACACACACACACACACACACGAGATTACCAACCCAACTTCTCCTTTAATTTCTATGTAAACTGCTTATTTGAGCAAATAAATGAGGATTACTATAAATATTTCAAGAATTGAATTTGGAATACTCCAGATGCACATCACATATGCAAAAAAAAAAAAAAATCAGGATTTAAAAACAATGGAATTCCATTTCCTCATTCTTTTATTATTTACTATTTAACTTCTGTGCTCTAAAGAGATTATCAAAATGTAAGGCTAATCATATACTAACAGTGAACCATTAAAAACATGATGAATGTTTGAGAATAAATATGGCACACTGCTTGTTTGTTAACTGTACATTACACAGAGAACAGAAAAGGACACGTAATATTGACATTTACTGTGGGGGGATATAGTGATGAACCAGGTCCCCATTATCTTTTTGAGAAACATTTAACATTTAATTTATGTGTGTGTATAAACACACACATACACATATATGCACGTGGGTGTGTATACATACATATATGTTTTTAAACAAAAAACTTTTGTTGTGAGGAGCTATCTGTGAGCCTCCACTGTGATTAAACAATCTGTGATAATCTTAGAAATTAATAACCTGACTCTAAACAATCTGATAATCTTGGAAATTAATTACCTGACTCAAAGCTGGGATGGAACTTGTTTGAGAAGTGGTTTGAGATATAGGACCATTCATCTGTAAAATTGAAAACAAAAGATACCATCACTGCAATATAAAGACAAGAGTTTCAAACTACGGTAATTAAGCAAAAACAAAGCTCCTGGGAAATATATTTTCATAATATAAAATCATAAATTTTGGGGCTGGGGTTGTGGCTCAGCAGTAGAGCGCTCACCTAGCATATGTGAGGCACTGGGTTCCACCCTCAGCATCACATAAAAGTAAACAAAGGTATTGTGTCCAAGTACAACTAAATATATATATATATATATATTTTAAAAAATCATAAATTCATAAGATTCAGATTATAGGAGTCTTAAAATTGATTTTTAAAATTCTCATAGCACATTATAAGTAAAATTACTTGTAAGTTTCAAAAGGGAAAAATTAAGTGACTTTTCCTAGAATCAATTCAGAAACATGAAATATTATTTCCTAAAATGATAAAATGAAGGTACTCAAGCTGGGCACAGTGGTGCATGCCTGTAATCCCAGAGGCCTGGGACACTGAGGCAAGAAAATAGATAAGTTCAAAGTCAGCCTCAGCAACTTAGCAAGGTCCTAGGCACTTCAGCAAGATCCTGTCTCTAAACGGACTAGGAATGTGGCTCAGTGGGTAAACGTCCCTAGATTCAATCCCTAGTATCCCCCCAAAAGAGAAAGTACTCAAAATTTATAATCCTAATTAACTCTTTACTGCAATGGCTATAATAGCTTTACTTTATTACATTGGCTATGATGTTAGTCTAGGATTTACAATTGCATTTTCTTGTTTTGAAATATGAAAATTTTAAATGAGTGTGGCACATGTTTGTAATCGAGAGGATGAAACAGGAGGATCCCAAGTTCAAGGCCAGCCTTAGCAAGGCTCTATGAAACTTACACCCTGTCTCAAAATAAAATATAAAAAGAGATGGGGATATAGCTCAGTGGTAAAGCTCCCTTAGGTTCAATCCACAGAATGTACTAACTAAATAAGTAACAAAACTTCAAGTATTTATAGTTACAACTAACCTTTTGTTCTATCACCTGGTTCTTACAGTTTTCCCTATTAAGCTACCCAGACATTTTTTCAGACTGATGAGGTTCTGGATACAGGATCCCAATCATTGCATCTTCGAATGTGAAGAAAACAGCAGATTCAGGCCATAAAAACTGGAATATTCATTCTGGGGTTGTGACTCAGGGGTAGAGTACTTGCCTAGCACATGTGAGGCACTGGGTTCTATCCCCAGTACCACATAAAAAAATAAACTTATCATATTCATCTACAACTAAATATATACATATATAGATTACACAAACAACTAGAATATTCACCTCATTCTTTTTCTCCTAAAGTGGGTCATAAAACCTGATAATCTTCTCCTGAAAATAAGTATTAAGACCCTCATTTCAGAGGGGGTCCTGCTCTACACTCAGAGGACAGGAATGTCACACAAGAAAAATGAGAACAAAGTGCCCTTGTTAAGTTCTCCCCAGTTTATTACTATTAGATCATAACCACTTCTGTCTATGCTTTTCCATAACTCTCTACTTCTATATGACACTTGTGAAAATTACATAGCATTCCTTATCTTTATTTCTGAAGGCTATGTGTCACATAAAACTTATTACTAAATAAATATATGTTTTCCTCTTATTCATCTCAGCCTCAGATGGGTGAGAAGTCTTTTCCCCTCTGTTAAGACTATACCACCTATATGTAGACCCTAAGGTACCCAAGTGCTGTTATTTTGATTTGCTTCTGAAGTTCAAGGTAAAGAAAGAGAAATGGCTGCCCCCGGCCCTCCCGGCCCACAACACCCACCAGATGAGAGCTGTCCTTGCCCTCCTGGACTCGCTGCGCCTGCGGTTCAGCCACAACTTTAGTGTCCTGATCAGAAGTCATGGGCTCCACTGGGATAAGTTTAATGCCAACCTCAGGATGCTGCAAAATGACAAAGAAAGTGAACAAGTCATTTGAGGGGCACAGTATGATTGATTCTTAAATGAAATTACTAAAAAGTTAAATCCAGGACATGTTTATCCCTCTGAACTATAAGTAGCTTAAAGAAAACTAACCATAATTAACACCTTACTCACCAAGAAGTAATAATACTTATTTTAAGTAAGATTCTTCTTCATACCAATTTGGTGATAATGATAACACAGAAAAATCCCTTTATGCCCAGAAATTCATGTTTTTTAAAAAACAGAAAATTAAGGAATTTAATATTCAAAAATATATGAGAAATTTGCAAACTCAATTGTAAAAAGCAATAACCTAATTTGAAAATGGCCAAAGAGCCCAAATAGACATTTTCCCAAAGACATAAAAATGACCAATAAATAAAAAAGTACTCAACATCACTAATCAACAAGGAAAAGCAAATCAATACCACAAGAGGTCACCCACACCTGCTAGAATGGCAACGGCCCAAATGACAAGAAATAGAAAGGCTGTTCAGGGCATAGAGAACAGGGTATCTTAGCACACTGTTGACAAGAATTTAAGTTGGTGTAGTCACTATTGAAAAGAAATAAGGAGATTCCTCAAAAATTTAAAAAAAAAAAACAAACAACATAATACATCTAGCAATTCCATTCCTTGGTCTATATCTGAAATAAATGAAACCACCACCTCATGAAGATATGCATTCCCACATCCACTGAAGCATTATTCACAATAGCCATGATATGGCAACAACTTGTATCTATCAATGGATGAATGGATAAAGAAATTGCAGTGTGTACACACACAGGAATGTTATTCAGTCTTTAAAAAAGGGAAAAACCTTGTCATATGCTACAACATAGATGAACCTAGAAAAGAGTATGCTAAGTGAAACATGACAGGCACAGAAAGACAAATATTGCACAATCTTACTTTATGTGCAAACTAATTTACCCAGAAATAAAAAATAAAATGGTTGTTAGCAGGGAATGAGGCATGTAATAGGTTAAAGGGCATAATCTACAGATATGTAGGATGAAAAAGCTTATGATCTAATACCCGCAAGGACTATAGTTACAATATTGAATTACACTATACACTAGAAATTTGCTAAGAAAGATTTCAGGTGCTCTTAGTACCCATACATAAACAGGTAAAAATGTGATTTTAATTGGTTGACTATAGTAACCATTTCACTATGTTTATCAAAATGTGCTGTATACCTTAAACATGTTTTTAAAAAAACCTCCAAAAATTACACAATCAATAAATTCCAGAATAAAAACATAGTTTTTGATGAGTCCCTAACTTATACATGTTGTTCTTAACTGGTCCCATTAATTTTATTTTATTCAAGAATAACTATTGTCAGGACAAACAATAATTCAAAATGAACCAAAATATAATCCTCAATCATAAGAAACTAAAAACAATTTGAATGCAATGGAATAAATATTATAGTTTTGGGAAAGCATTTGCCTAACTCAATGGCTGAACATTGAACTTCATGTATAATACCTCAATTAACTTGAGAAATGACTTAAAAGGAAGTAACTTTCATAAATTTACATAATAAGGACTCCTAGGAATCCAAGAAAAGGATTTCTTCTTTTCACTATAAGCTACATTGATTCACAAACAAAGAATCTGATTTAACCCAGGTATATTTTCAGGCACTTTTGAAAACAGAGTCATCAGAAGGCCAGAAAAATAAACTTTAAGTCAAAACTATTTCTCACTACATAATCATACAGGTTTTTTCATTTCTTTAATGCTGCCTCCTATTCTCAATAGCCTACATGAGATAAATTCTCAAAACCCTTGTTAATTTAAACACATCTGATCAAAGCCAATCTCATCCAATTGCCAAAATGGTATCATAAATCACAAAAACTACAAAACATTTAAATGCTGTAAAACAGATCTGAAAACATAAACTAGCAGAGAAGAAATGCTTAAAAATACATTATTTCATGGAGATCACTGTTTTCCAAAATGTGGAATGAATGACAAGTTAGATTTCAACAGTTATGCATTTCATTTTAATGTGCATCCTTTTCTTATGTGTCTGTGGCATTGATTAACTTCTTGTTAAATTAAGCAAAAAAATTAGTCCATTTGAAATACTACTATGAACACTGCTGGAATACAGCAAAACTCTTCAAAGTAGAATATGTGACTAAACTTCAGAAAACAGATTTAGGAACATCTGGTTCTGACACATTCCAGGTCACTGTTCTCAGTCCTTAGATACACTGAAGAATCACACAAGGAAATTGTAATTTTCTACTTTTGTAGCTCAAATGTGAGTGTTTTTTTAAAGTTACGCAGATGATTCTGAAACACCTGAACAAAGACATACTTCCAAGAAATGGTGACGTAGCACACAGGGAGGGTGACTCTGTGATATTGCTTCGAAACAAATGGATCTAGTTTTGTAAAAAACCTACGTATCACTAAACACCAATTATCACAGAAGCATCAAATCCAGAAAATAAAGATGCAAATTAATAACTAGAGAAGTCCTAGATGGTATAAATGCTTCTATCCCTATTAACTCCAAGATTTTTAGATTCTCAAAGAAATGATGTTTGTTCTTAAGGATGCACCTATGCTTAAAAATAAGATATGGCATCCAAAAGGAAAATTTGACTAGAAGAATCCTTTACATGCTACCTACGTTTTACAGACAACTGGAAATTATGCACTTCTTGATGGGAATACCACCATCACCATATCATGCTCCTTAAATCTTTTTTTTTTTTCCTCCCCTCTCCTTTTGTGGTGCTAGGGATCACACACACATGGCCTTGGGCATGCTACATAAGCATTCTAATTCCCTAGACTGAATTACAAATATCATCATCACATATTTACAGTACATGAGGGGACAGAGGAACATGGAGGCTGAAGACACACAATGAGCCAGCAACACAACAGCTTTATTTAGATAAGTGGATCAAACCAATTTTTTTAAAAAGATAAAAAATTTGCAAAATATTTGATGATACTAAAGAATGACTTTTTAAAAAAAATGTGATAATAATGTGGTTATGTTTAATATATACATAAGGAGAGAGATCTCTCTTTAAAGATGTATATTGAGAGCTGAGGCTGAGTGATAGAGTGCTTGCCTCACACGTGCAAGACCCTGGGTTTGATCCTCAGCACCACATAAAAATAAATGAATAAAATAAAGGTATTGTGCCCAACTATAATTAAAAAATATTTTTGAAAAATAAATAAATAAAGATGTATACTGAAATATTAACAGGGGGAAAAAACGTGATGTCTGCAATGTTACTCAAAAATATGTGCAACAGAGACCAAAAAAAAAGTCCATAATTGTTTATCTTAAAAAGGAGTACAGGGCTGGGGATATGGCTCAAGTGGTAGTGTGCTCGCCTGGCATGCATGCAGCCTGGGTTCAATCCTCAGCACCACATACAAACAAAGATGTTGTGTTCGCCAAGAACTAAAAAAATAAATATTAAAAATTTCTCTCTCTCAAAAAAAAAAAATTTTAAAAAAAGGAGTACAGAGGTTCATTCATTACACTACTCTATCTAGGCTTCTGCACATTTGAAATATTATATAAGAGGTTTTAAAAAGTAATAATGGCATAATCTTACAATGAAACAGTGACTCTGATTTGACTACTCTGCAACTGTTTCGTAAGAAAGTAATTAAATTTTTCAAAAAAGTTCTACAACTGTGAAGTTTAACAGAATAATTACTGATAGTTACCTGAAGTAAACACTAAAAATTACAAACTATTTTAAGACTTTATTATTAAATGTCTAAATCTAGAATGAAACAAAACTTGAGTATGATAATGCAAGTATTGATAATAGTCTAAATAAAGAACAAAATCACATTCCACTACTGGTTTAGGAGACCAACATTGTTTGATACTTAAACTATATTGTCTTCTACCCCATGTTCAAAAAGCAGATCTTTAGATTGTAAAGAGAAATAACTGCCAGGTGCAGTGGCACATGCCTGTAATCCTCGCAGCTTGAGAGTTCAAAGCAACTTAATGAGGCCCTAAGCAACTCAGTGAGAACCTCTCTCTAAATAAAATATAAGAAAGGACTGGGGATATGGGTCAGTGGTTAAGCATGCCTGGGTTGAATCTCAGGGAGGGAGGGAGGGAAGGAAGGAATACTGAAGAGGGGAAGAATGTGACAACCAAAAGCAAATATTTCCTGAAACAGAACCTCAGAGTCTGAGGCATCTTCACACTCCTCAATGTCTCACATCCTTCACAAAACTTTAATTGAGTTACACAGGAGCTACTCTCTTGATTTGATTTAATCTCTTTATATAAAAAGCAAAATGAGGGCAAATCCAAGTATTCTAAACTTCATATGTGACCTAGCAGTACATTTTTAATCTCATCCATCAAAGCTACAGCCTAAAAAGGAAGTTTTCTCAATCCTGTTCACCACTTGGGAGAGGTTAAATCTCCTAGGTCTTATCAGTTTCTGAAGTATTCTTTTCATACGTACAAGAATGGTATTTCTTAAATATTTTTATGTTCTTTTTGGACACTCAAGGCAATCCTTCAGAACATAAATGACCTCAAACTTACTTATAATCAGATTATATAACTATTCAGAACTGCAATTTTAAGACTATTTCTAAAATACGAAATTCTAAAAATTCAACAATTAATAATATTCATTCATTAAGCTTGTTCTTTGAGGTAAATGTGGGCATAATTATTTTGAAATTGTCTTATAAACTGTCTATATGCAAGAACACACATCTACATGCCACACAGAACAAACTAAATAGAAATATATTATTAGGCACACAGATTTTCACATAAGAGATACAAATATAAAATTAAAGAAGTTAAATAAGACCCAGAGAATATTTTTAAACTACAGTATAAAAACAGTGTTTCCTACAACATCCTCTTCCTATTTCATGATCCAATCTAGGGTCTTACACTGTATTTAGAAGCCAAAATTTCTGTTTAGTCCCCT